CCCCCCCCATGCGGCCCAAACCAAATTTTCATCTAATGTGGCCCAGGGAAGGTGAAAGGTTGGACACCCCTGCTCTAGGCGGTTTACAAGTTAATTATGCAGGCTACACATTGCCCCCACCCCCAGCAAGCTGGGTACTCATTTTACCAACCTCGGAAGGATAGAAGGCTGAGTCAACCTTGAGCCGGCTACCTGGGATTGAATAGTTAAGTGCCATTATTATCTCCAGTTAGTACAGCCAAGGGTGACGGAATATGGCAGTCACAGCGCAGCAATTTTGGATTGGCCACCTGCAGTGTCTCTCCCTCCATCCCCACCCCAAGCTGGAAAGAGGCTGCACTGAATGACAACGAAGAGTTGTAAAGAGGTGTGTGTGTTTCAAGGAGTATTTTCTGCTAGTGATTTATTGTAACTGCTCCCCTGAAGCATTGTAAGTATACAGTATTTCATTTGTTACATTCTATTTGTAACACTTCTGCAATGCAGTTTTAATAACTCATGTGGGAAACAGTAAGTCAGTCACAGGGCAGTGGGAAAGAGAACACAACTCAGAGCTGGGGAAATTGGGCGAGGGGGGGGGACGCAGAGGGTTTCCAATGGAAGCTTTCCAATTCTATGGCCTGTGTGGGATGTTGGAGAAGTTGCTTTTTGGAATGACAGCTCCCAGAATCTTCTAGATGGCATAGGATGTGGTCTTGTGCAAAAATAGACAAAAATGGGACACATCAGAGCGTGGCCTTTTCCACGGTCTGATACTTTATGTCCCATCTCACACTTCTTATCCCTGAAGTGCTGCTGCCCAGAAATTGGTTACTCGTAGTAAAATGTATAGGGTAATTAAATTAGGGATCAAAACTCCAAGATGTTACTATGTCACCATGCCGGCTAAGGGATTCTGTACTTGGTAGTCCAAAAAAGTAACCTTTCCAAGTCCTGGATAGGACACTGTTGTACAAACTCCTTCACAAAGCGTTCATGCCACTTACGCAGCAGGGAGATCTTTCCCTTAAGTAGCGTTTCTCATATAGTCTTGGTAAATCCAGAATATATCTACCCTACAGCAGTTTTATTGCTCTTTAGCAGCCATGCCCCTGTCCTGTGGCATACTGGGATTTGTAGTTTGGTTACATGCTCTCCTGAACTTTGGCAGCAAATTCTAAGAACCTCACAAAATCATAGAGACCCCTCGTTTCTAACAATATGATCCTGCATCTACTGTGGCAGCACCATTAACAACAATGTCACCCAGAGCACCAGGTGTTCGTGTACTTGCTCATATTGTAATATATGAGCCTTCTCAGCTCTTAAGATCATCAGGGGAGGCCCTCCTCTCGGTCCTGTGGCCAGCGCAGGCACGGTTTATGTTAACATGAGAGAGGGCCTTCTCTGTGGCTGCTCCCAGGTTACGGGAGTGCTCTCCCTCGGGAGATCAGGTTGGCCCCCCCTCCCTTTTATCCTTCCACCCCCTTGGCCACAAAAGATACGTATGTTGGTGATCGGACGAACGTTGTTTAAGATTATCCATTTCTCTTAACCGAGAGAAGTGCCTCCCTCAGTGAAGAGTTTACAGTGTCCATGGCCCAACCCACCATTATCTCATTGGCAGCTAGCTTTTATGTGTCGGGCTGAACAAGGGTCGAGCAAAGTGGTGGCAGGCTTGCAGCTTCCTGGAAGCACCCTGGAAGCTTCCTCTGCTGCTCTAGGGTAAAACGAAGCCAACTGGAGAGAGGAAGAGGGCCCTGCAGAGGTCCCTCCGCCTGGTCAACTGAACTGCTAGTGGAATCAAGATCAGAACGGATGGCCTCAATTTTAGATTTTAAAAAAAGGCTGCAAATTGATCAGTTATGAAAATCACCAGGATTGCTGACCAGGATGAGGCTGCAATGCACCCGGAAGAGTTCCACTTGTCAGTTCATGGCCTCAGCAGCAATCCAAATATTAAAAGCCTTTTTCACTGCTTTTAAGATGTTGGCGTATCTCCCGGTCATGAATTTAACTGCAGCCAGATTTTTTATCCAGCTGGTCCTTCCTCCACGTGCTTTCTAGCTGTCTCCTAGCTAACTTCATAGCTTGTCTGGTTCCCTCGGTAAACCAGGGAACCAGACAAGCTCTGAAACGGAGAGGGTGTTTGATCATGTGAACCGCCCAGGTCTTCTCTGAGTACCATCTACCAACCTGAACTTTGACAGGGTTGCTTACTAGACCAGTCAGATACCCTCCGAATGCCTCCTGAAACCCATCGGGGTCGAGAAGCCTGCAAGGGTGGACCATTTTGACAGGTCCATTCTCCCTGTGGAGGAGGATTGCAGGTACCACATTGAATTCCAGGAGGAAGTGGGTGAGAGCTCATTTTCCACACCCTCAGATCATTCTCAGTCTGTGCAGTCAAGAACACCAAACCCAGAAATCCAGACAGTTGGGATTCAGTATCAAGTCTCCGATTATCTACAGTCTGGAAGAGCTGAATACTGCAACCAAGATGAACTCAGCCCGTCCTGGCAGGAGGAGTGCTGGGTCGTGAGGAGAGTGGCACACTGTGGGAAACCTGCTTAAAGGTTGTTGCTGCATTCTGTTCCAGAAATCTGCATACACTCCTGGCAGGAAGCGGCAGCTGCCAGCCGGTGAGGTAACCCCTTATTCTGCCCTTTCGCTCAGAGGTAGAGCATAAGATCAAAGAGTTATTTTAGCCAATCCTAGTTGAAATTAGATAACTAGCATCCTATCTGAATTCTAACAACATACTATGTAACTCATGCTAAGTCAATAAAAAGAGCTCTCAGGGCATTGCCTGTAGGCTCCACTGGCTCGGACATCTCTTGTCTACTCTCCTTTGTACTTTCTCTAAGGTTATTAGCCTTCCTTTGTTCCGTGATCACGCACAGTACACCAGCACCGTCTATTCCTAAGCCTCACCATCAAGTGCAAACATCTAGGCCCACACTCGAAAACAAGGCAGTCCTGCTGATTTGGATAGCATCCTTGTGGACAGCTGTG